TTTTTTTTTCAAAAATATAAATTTTAAGAAATATATTAAGTAAAAAAACGTATAATATAAGCCCCGCCCACCCGCCCGATCTACATTGCGATAAATTTTTCATTCGTTGTCAGCCAAGAGGCAGAGCATAATTGCAAAATCCAGATTTTCCTACAAAAATATAAGCCCCGCCCACCCACCCGATCTCAATTGTGATAAATTTTTTATTCGTTGTTAGACCGAGGGGAGGAGCGTAACTGCAAAATCCATATTTGTCTACAAAAATTTATCATTTTGAACACCAAAACCAGAATTACTTCAATTCGAAAAGCTGAGAACAAAAGTTCTAAAAATATAAAGAAAATTTCCTGTAGATCCTAAAATCACAAAAAAAGCCAAATTTTGATAATCACTTTCAAATTATGCATGAAACTTATAACTTTTTAAATGTTAGCGTTATTAAGTAGTTTAAAAAAAAATTAATTCTAAATATTTTAATTGAGACTTTTTTATCGAGGAATAATTTGAAAATTTCGGCACACTTTGGAAAAAACTGAAAATAATTTGGAACAGAGAAGCTGAAAAGAAAATCACAACGGTCTAAAAATATAAACGAAAACTCTTGTACATCCCAAAAATCACAAAAACGTCTAAATTTTGACAGTTTGTGAACAGAATATAGATTCTAATATTTTAACTGAAACTCCGCCAGAAAAATTTTGAAAATTTCGGTACATTTTGGAAAAAACTGTAAATACTTTGAATAAAAAAAACTGAAAAGAACTCGTCTAAAATTATGAACTAAAATTCTTGTACATCTCAAAAATCACAAAAACGTCTAAATTTTGACAATTTGTGACGAGAATATAAATTCTAAATATTTTGACTAAAACTTCACCACAAAAATTTGAGAGTTTTGGCACTGAAATTTTCGTTACAAAAATTATGTAAATCTCACCCCCTTTTGAAAAACATTTAAAATCCAAATTACTTTGAATCCGACGCGCTGAGAACTAAGTAAAATTCTTGTAGATCTCAAAAATCATGTAAATTAGGTATGTATTATTTTTAAACTGTTGGCAGTATACTTTGACGAAAAACATAAATTTTTAAGATTTTAACAAAAATTTACAGACTAAAATTAAAAATTGTAAATTTTTTTACTAAAATTGCACCACAAAGTTTAGAAAATTTTGGCACATTTTTGAGAAAACTGGAAATATTTTGTATCAAAAAAGCTAAAAAGAACAGATTTAACAATACAAACAAAAATTCTTACAGATCTCAAAAATCATACAAAGCCCAAATTCTGAAAATCATTTAAAAATAAATAACTTACAATTTCTAAAATCCTAGCATCACAGTTCGTGAAAAAAACTTAAATTTTAAATGTTTTACTGACATTTTTTTTCAAAAATATAAATTTTAAAGATTTTAACAGAAATTTCCCGACTACAATATTGAAAAGTTCAGCAATTTTGGAAAAAAACTGAAAATACTTTGGATTATTGAATTTCTAGCAGAAGAAGACTACACATATTAAGAAAAAAGGGGCAAAATATAAGCCCCGCCCACCCACCCGATGTCCATTGTGATGAATTTTTCATTCGTCGTCATACCGAGAGGCGGAGTGTAATTGCAAAATCCAGATTTCCTAACAAAAATATAAGCCCCGCCCACCCGCCCGATTTCAATTGTGATGAATTTTTCATTCGCTGTCAGACCGAGGGGCGGAGCGTAATTGCAAATTTCGGATTTCCCTACAAAAATTTATCATTTTGGACGCCAAATTTTATGTTTTGGAAATTTCAAACTAAAATTCAGAATTATTTCAATTCGAAAAGCTGAGAACAAAAGATCTAAAAATATAAAGAAAATTTCCCGTAGGTCCTAAAATCACCAAAAAGCCAAATTTTGATAATCACTTTCAAATTATGCAACTCATAATTTTTTAAATGTTGGCGCTATTAGTTTGAAAGAAATAAATTTTAAATATTTTAATTAAGACTTTTTTACGGAGAAATAATTTTGGAAAAGACTGAAAATATTTTGGAACTAAAAAGCTGAAAAGAATAGGTCTAAAAATATAAACGAAAATTCTTGTACATCCCAGAAATCACAAAAACGTCTAAATTTTGACACTTTGTGAACAGAATATAGATTCTAAATGTTTTAACTAAAACTTCACCACAAAATTTTGAAAATTTTGACATATTTTTGAGAAAACTGGAAATATTTTGTATCAAAAAAGCTGAAAAGAACAGATTTAACAATACAAACAAAAATTCTTGCAGATCCCAAAAATCATAAAAAATCCAAATTTTGAAAATCATTAAAAATAAATAACTTACAATTTTTAAAATCCAGCATTACAGTTCGTGAAAACAACTTAAATTTGAAATGTTTTCATTGACATTTTATTTCAAAAATATAAATTTTAAAAATTTCGGCATATTTTGCAAAACACTGAAAATACTTTGGACCAGAAAAACTGAAAAGAACCAGTAGTCTAAAAATACAAACGAAAGTTTTTATGGATCCCAAAATTCAGGAAATCGAAATTTTGACATTTTGTGAAGAAAATATAAATTTTAAATATTTGACTGAAACTTCGCTTCAAAATTTGATGTTTTGTGTCGACTTGAATAAATATTGAATTTCTAGCCGAAAGAAGACTGCACATATTAGAAAAAACGGCAAAATATAAGCCCCGCCCACCCGCCCGATCTCCATTGTGATGAATTTTTTATTCGTTGTCAGACCGAGGGGCGGAGCGTAATTGCAAGATCACCAAAAATTTATAATTTTGAACACCAAATTTTTAGTTTTGGAAATTTCAACACGTCTAAAAAAAACTAAAATTTAGAATTATTTCAATCCGAAAAGCCGAGAACAAAAGATCTAAAAATATGTATAAAGAAAATTTCTTGTAGATCCTAAAATCACAAAAAAGCCAAATTTTGAAAATCATTTTCAAATTATGTAACTCATAATTTAGCGTTATTAGTTTGAAAAAAATTCTAAATATTTTAATTGACACTTTTTCACCGACAAATAATTTGAAAATTTCGGCACATTTTAGAAAAACTGAACACTAAAATTCAAATTACTTTGAATCCGAAACGCTTGACAACAAAACAAAATTCTTGTAGATCTCACAAATCATCTAAATTACTGTAATTAAACTGTTGTCAGTATAATTTGACGAAAAATATAAATTTTAAAGATATGAACAAAAATTTCCAGACTAAAATATTAAAAATTTCGGCATATTTTGGAAAAAACTGAGAATACTTTGGATCAGAAAAGCTGAAAAGAACAGATTTATCAACACAAACAAAAATTGTTGCAGATGTCAAAAAGGTGTAAATTTTGAAAATCATTTAAAAATAAGTTAATTACACATTATAGTTCACGAAAAAAAATTAAATGTTTTCACTGAAACTTTTGTCATTACATTTTTGAAAACTTCACATTTTGAAAAACATCTAAAATTCAAGATATTTTGAATCCCGAAAGCTGAGAACAAAATATTTGAGAATACAAAGGAAAATTCTTGCAGATCTCAAAAATCATGTAAATTACTATTTTGAAAATGTTGGCATTATAGTTTGAGGAAAAGTACAAATTCTAAATATTTTAACAAAAACCTTCCCAAAGAAAATTTTGAAAATTTTGGCACATTTTAGGAAAAACTGGAAATATTTTGTACCAAAAAAGCTGAAAAGAACAGATTTAACAATACAAACAAAAATTTAGGTGAGAAAATTCAGATTTCCCTACAAAAAATTATTATTTTGAACATGTTTGGAAATTTCAACACATCAAAAAAAACTAAAATGCAAAATAATTTCAGTTCGAAGAGCTGAGAACAAAACATCTAAAAGTATAAAGGCAATTTCTTGTAAATTCCAAAATCACAAAAATGCTAAATTTGGAGAATCCCTTGTACATTATGTAAAAAATTTGTAAAATGAGAATTTGTAGTTCGAGAAAAATTTAAAATCTAAATATTTTAATAGAGAAAGTTCTTGTCGATCCCAAAAATTATAAAAACGTCTAAATACAAATTCGAAATTTGTTAACCTAAACGGTTGTCCAGAAATTTTAAATCTTCTTTATTTTCTTAATCAACCTGAAGATTTTTTAATTGACCCAAACAATTTAATTCTCTTTAATTTTGAATTGAAAACTTTCCAATAACACCTAAAATTGTTTGTAATTTTTTTAATTTGTAATTTAATATTTGCAATAACCTGAGGTCGTCTATTTTCGAATCGACTTGAATAAATTTTGAATTATTATTAGCCGAAGCACTTTCTGGTATATTTTGAGCTAACGTCATTTATTTTTTGAGGAGGATAATCAGCCAAATTTTGCTTACATAATATAAAGCTAATCACACACTGACGTCCATTTTCAAAAGCCACCCCCTTCTCCAGGAAGCCCATTTCTCCTTCTGCAACGAACGTCTAATGGACTGACAATAGTCACCCCACTAAACTAACAATGCCAAGTATAGACCCATTAATCACCTAGTTATCTGCAAAACTAACGCCCTCCGTACCTCTAAAGGGTTGCAGAACTTTTTTACCCCCCATTTATTCACGGTCCAACCGAAAATAATACACATTTACATTGTAACCGTACACACGTGTTAGTCCAACAAGAACAGATTTTACGCCGACTAGCCTGAGCTCTTAAATATTTAAAACTTTACCTGGATTAAGTGGCGAAGCGATTTCGATAATGGAAACAGGGTGTCGGTTTATTTTTTATGGCTAATAAAATAAGGAAATGTTAAAAGATAGATATCACTTAGAGTGGCACGTGCCAGGGTGAGCTTGTGGTCATAATAGCCCAGTGCACGTGTCCAAGTGTGACAGTGTTTATCCGGAGGCGTTTTGTGATTTTAATTGGGGGTCTTGTGGATGCGATAGCCCTCTTCAACTTATGGCGTGATCGTTTTTTGAACTTGTTTTGTTATATTGGTTGCCTATCTTTAACAATAATATTATACTTTAGAAATATTTAATACTGTTTAAATTCATTTTCGAGCATTTTAAATTTCTCTTCGCTTGATCGAGCAACTTCTGCACTGCAAAAATCTCCTGGGGGTTAAACCCATGCAACGTAACCAATTTCATCATTCTGCACCAAATCCTCGGCACTCGATAATCCGTAAACAAGTACAAGTGCCACCTGTGAATCTTCATCTTCTCCGCACAAATCCCAGTCACGAAGACGTCCTCCAGGTGAAACAGCGGCAACTCCAAAGCCGCGCTGTACAACTCCCTGGCCACTCGCAGCGACATCAAGTACGCAGGTCCGGCCAAAAACTTCGGGTACGTGTGTCCCAAAAACATATACCTGGGGGCGTACCACTTCTTGTTGTAGTCATTCTTGCGCCGCTCCCCTATAATCGCCCTCCCCATCAACAGCCTCTTCTTCATGTCGTTCGGCAACAACTCCACAAGCTTCACCAAATTCTCCACGTTGACGAAGAGATCTTCGTCTGCTTTCACCAGAAACTTGCACTGGTCTTGACTCTCGAAGAGTTTGAGCATGGAGATCGACTTGAGTGTGAGGTTGGCGTAGTCGTCGATGAAGTCCTCGATGATGATGTCGCCGTGTTCGAGGTTTTCGCTCCTGGTGATGTCGCGGGTCGACCAGTCCCGGGTTTGGCCCAAAAGGAAGAAGAGCGATGCGTTGTTGTTGAAGAGGAGGGTTGGGTCGCCCCAGGTCCGGCGAATGGCATCTCGGGCCTCCTTGTTGTGGGGGCGGGAGTGCACGAAAATGAGGACGGTTTTAGGGGCGTTACAAAAATTGTGGGGGAGGTTGTTGACTTGGAGGTTGAGGTAAAAATTGACGTTGCGGGGAGTGTCTTCAGGCCAGTGGTCCAGAGGGGTCACTGCGTGTCTGCAGCGAACGATGATGTAGAAGTGGATGGACGCCACGACGAAGATTATGATGAAGAATTCTTTGGGGGTTGGATGCATTTTGACGTACTTTGATTTTAGCGGCGCCAACTTTCTTAATATTTTTAAATGAATAGGCAACCAGTCATACTTAATTGCTGGTTGCATAATTTCCTATTCATTATCAAACGCCAGAATTTTTTCTATTATCTTCGGATCAGTACTATTAGCCTCCATCTCTTGGTAAAGTGAGCGTAAATATTCGAGCGAACATTTGTAATTATTTTGTGCCCTTTCGAGCAACCTCTGCACTCTAAAAATCTCCTTGGGCCTAAAACCATGCATCGTAATCAACCTCAAAATGACACATTTTCCCTTCGGCACCCCATAATCCGTAAACAAAGGCAAATCCTGTGGCCTAATCCCCACTTTCTTCGCGCAAATCCCCGTCAAGAAAACGTCCTCCAGGTGAAAAAGCGGCAGCTCCAAAGCCGCTTTGTACAACTTCTTCGCCACCTGCAGCGACATCACGTACGCAGGCCCAGCCAGAAAATTCGGATACGTGCGCCCCAAAAACATATACCTGGGGGCATACCACCTATCATAGTAGTCATTCTGGCGCCTCTCCCGCCAAATCGCCCTCCCCATCAACAATTTCTCCTTCGCGCTATCAGCAAAGAAGTGCATAATTCTAACCAACTTCTCCACGTTGACGAAAAGATCGTCGTCGGCTTTCAAGAGAAACCGGCACTGGTTTTGGCTCTGGAAGAGTTTGAGCATCGACACCGACTTGAGTGTCAGGTTGGCGTAGTTGTCGATGAAGTCCTCGACGATGATGTCTCCGTGTTCGAGGTTTTCGGCCATGATGATTTCGCGCGTGGACGGGGGGTTCCTGGTTTCGCCCAGAAGGAAGAACAGGAGGGCGTTGGTTTTGGTGAGGCGGTCTGGGTCGCCCCAGGTGCGGCGGATGGCGGCTCGTGCCGCCTTGTTTCTTGGGTGCGAGTGGACGAGGATGAGGAGGGTTGTTGGGGTGGTGCAGAAGTCGGTGAGGAGGTTTTTGACGTCGAGGTTTATGTAGAGGGAGATGTTTCGGGAGGTGGTTTCGGGCCAGGCGTTCAGAGGGAGCTCTGCGTGCCTGCAGCGAAGTAGAAGGTAAATGTGTAGTAGTGCTAGGAGGATGATTACGATGAAGAACTGTTTGGGAGTTAGGTGCATTTTGACCATTTTGACACTGACAGCACTGCCAGCCTAGATAAATAAATAATTGGTCGAACGTTATTTCGTCCTTGAATTACGGTGCAACAAATTCTGCTTCTTTAAAGAATTATGAAATTTGATTTTGAGAAGTTTTACTTTTTTGTTATAACCTCTATGGAGAGAACTTGTCACAGTCTAAGAGAGAAAAAGGGTTTCATTTTCTTAAAAAAGTGAGTTGGGCCCTCGAGAAGGTTACAACTTCTTTAAAAAAACGACAGGTAGGGCACATGAGAAAGTTTCATATTCTTAAAAAAAAAGACAGTTGGGGCCTTCGAAAAGGTTTCGACTTCTTTAAAAAAAGACAATTGAGAACCCCGAGAAGGTTTCATATTATTAAAAAAAACCCTTAGGATCCCCTAGAAGGTTTCACATTATTAAAATGACAGAGACTCGGGAGCCCCGAGAAGGTTTCACATATAAAAAAAAACCCTTGAGATACCCGATAAGGTTTGACATTATTAAAATAAGAGAGACTTGGGGGCCCAGAGAACGTTTCACATTATTAAAAAAAACCCTTGGGGTCTCCGAGAAGGTTTCATATTATTAAAAAAAAACCCTTGGGGTCCCCGAGAAGGTTTTACATATTAAAAAAAAAAAACTTGGGATACCCGAGAAGGTTTCACATTATTAAAATAAGAAAGACTTGGGAGCCCCGAGAAGGTTTCACATATTAAAAAAAAAAACCTTGGAGTCACCGAGAAGGTTTCACATTATTAAAAAAAAACCCTTGGGGTCCCCGAGAAGGTTTCACATTATTAAAATTAGAGGGACTTGGGAGCCCCGAGAAGGTTTCATATTATTAAAATAAGAGAGACTTGGGAGCCCCAAGAAGGTTTCTCATTATTATTAAAAAAACCCTTGGAGTCCCCGAGAAGGTTTCAGATTATTAAAAAAAAACCCTTGGAGTCCCCGAGAAGGTTTCACATTATTAAAATTAGAGAGACTTGGGAGCCACGCGAAGGTTTGACATTATTAAAATAAAAGAATCTTGGAGGCCCCGAGAAGGTTTCAGATTATTAAAAAAAAACCGTTAGAGTCCCCGAGAAGGTTTCACATATTAAAAAAAACCCTTGGGGTCCCCGAGAAGGTTTCACATTATTCATATTACAGAAATTTGGGAGCCCCGAGAAGATTTCACATTGTTAAAAAAAACCCTTAGGATTCCCGAGAAAGTTTCACATTATTAAAATAAGAAAGACTTGGGAACCCCGAGAAGGTTTCACATATTAAAAAAAACCCTTGGGATACCCGAGAAAGTTTGACATTGTTAAAATAAGAGAGACTTGGGGGCCCAGAGAACGTTTCACATTATTAAAAAAAAACCCTTGGGGTCTCCGAGAAGGTTTCATATTATTAAAAAAAACCCTTGGGGTCCCCGAGAAGGTTTTACATATTAAAAAAAAAACTTGGGATACCCGAGAAGTTTTCACATTATTAAAATAAGAAAGACTTGGGAGCCCCGAGAAGGTTTCACATATTAAAAAAAAAAAACCTTGGAGTCACCGAGAAGGTTTCACATTATTAAAAAAAAACCCTTGGGGTCCCCGAGAAGGTTTCACATTATTAAAATTAGAGGGACTTGGGAGCCCCGAGAAGGTTTCTCATTATTATTAAAAAAACCCTTGGAGTCCCCGAGAAGGTTTCACATTATTAAAATTAGAGAGCCTTGGGAGCCACGCGACGGTTTGACATTATTAAAATAAAAGAATCTTGGAGGCCCCGAGAAGGTTTCAGATTATTAAAAAAAACCGTTAGAGTCCCCGAGAAGGTTTCACATATTAAAAAAAACCCTTGGGGTCCCCGAGAAGGTTTCACATTATTCATATTACAGAAATTTGGGAGCCCCGCGAAGATTTCACATATTAAAAAAAACCCTTGGGATACCCGAGAAGGGTTCACATTATTAAAATAAGAGAGACTTGGGAGCCCCGAGAAGGTTTCTCATTATTATGAAAAAACCCTTGGGGTCCCCGAGAAGGTTCCCCATATTAAAAAAAAACCCTTGAAATACCCGAGAAGGTTTCACATTATTAAAATAAGAGAGACTTGGGAACCCCGAGAAGGGTTGACATTATTAAAATAAGAGAGACTTGGGGGCCCCGAGAAGGTTTCACATTATTAAAAAAAAACCCTTGAGGTCCCCGAGAAGGTTTCAGATTATTATTAAAAAAAAAACTCTTGGGGTCCCCAAGAATGTTTCACTTTATTATAATAAAAGAGACTTTAAATCCCCCAGAAAGTTTCTCATTATTATTAAAAAAACCCTTGGAGTCCCCGAGAAGGTTTCACATTATTAAAATTAGAGAAACTTGGGGGCCCCAAGAAGGTTTCAGATTATTAAAAAAAACCCTTGGAGTCCCCGAGAAGGTTTTACATATTAAAAAAAAAAAACTTGGGATACCCGAGAAGTTTTCACATTATTAAAATAAGAAAGACTTGGGAGCCCCGAGAAGGTTTCACATATTAAAAAAAAAAAACCTTGGAGTCACCGAGAAGGTTTCACATTATTAAAAAAAAACCCTTGGGGTCCCCGAGAAGGTTTCACATTATTAAAATTAGAGGGACTTGGGAGCCCCGGGAAGGTTTCACATTATTAAAATAAGAGAGACTTGGGAGCCCCAAGAAGGTTTCTCATTATTATTAAAAAAACCCTTGGAGTCCCCGAGAAGGTTTCACATTATTAAAATTAGAGAGACTTGGGAGCCACGCGAAGGTTTGACATTATTAAAATAAAAGAATCTTGGAGGCCCCGAGAAGGTTTCAGATTATTAAAAAAAAACCGTTGGAGTCCCCGAGAAGGTTTCACATATTAAAAAAAACCTTTGGGGTCCCCGAGAAGGTTTCACATTATTCATATTACAGAAATTTGGGAGCCCCGAGAAGATTTCACATATTAAAAAAAAACCTTGGGATACCCGAGAAGGGTTCACATTATTAAAATAAGAGAGACTTGGGAGCTCCGAGAAGGTTTCACATATTAAAAAAAAAAACCTTGGTATACCCGAGAAAGTTTGACATTATTAAAATTACAGAAACTCGAAGGCCCAGAGGAGGTTTCACATTATTAAAAAAAACCCTTGGGGTCCCCGAGAAGGTTTCATATTATTAAAAAAAACCCTTGGGGTCCCCGAGAAGGTTCCCCATATTAAAAAAAAACCCTTGGGATACCCGAGAAGGTTTCACATTATTAAAATAAGAGAGACTTGGGAACCCCGAGAAGGTTTGACATTATTAAAATAAGAGAGACTTGTGGGCCCCGAGAAGGTTTCACATTATTAAAAAAAAAACCTTGAGGTCCCCGAGAAGGTTTCACATTATTATTAAAAAAAAACCCTTGGCGTCCCCGAGAAGGTTTCACATATTAAAAACAATCCTTGGGGTCCCCGAGAAGGTTTCACATTATTATAATAAGAAAGACCTGGGAGCCCCGAGAAGATTTCACATATTAAAAAATAACCCTTGGGATACCCGAGAAGGTTTCACATTATTAAAAAAAAACTCTTGGGGTCCCCGAGAATGTTTCACATTATTATAATAAGAGAGACTTGGGAGCCCTGAGAAAGTTTCACATATTAAAAAAAACCCTTGGAGTCCCTGAGAAGGTTTCACATTATTAAAACATACCCTTGGGGTCCCCGAGAAGGTTTCACATTATTAAAATTAGAGGGACTTAGGAGCCCCGAGAAGGTTTGACAGTATTAAAATAAGAGAGACTTGGGGGACCCGAGAAAGTTTCACATTATTAAAAACCCTTGGGACCCCCGAAAAGGTTTCATATTATTAAAAAAACCCTTGGGATACCCGAGAAGGTTTCACATTATTAAAATAAGAAAGACTTGGGAGCCCCGAGAAGGTTTCACATATTTAAAAAAAACCTTGGAATCCCCGAGAAGATTTCACATTATTAAAAAAAAACCCTTGGGGTCCGCGAGAAGGTTTCACATTATTAATATTAGAGAAATTTGGGAGCCCCGAGAAGGTTTCACATATTAAAAAAAACCCTTGGGATACCCTAGAAGGGTTCGCATTATTAAAATAAGAGAGACTTGGGAGCCCCGAGAACGTTTCACATATTTAAAAAAACCCTTGGGATACCCGAGAAGATTTCACATTATTAAAATTAGAGGGACTTAGGAGCCCCGAGAAGGTTTGACATTATTAAAATAAGAGAGACTTGGGGGCCCCAAGAAGCTTTCACATTATTAAAAACTCTTGGGACCCCCGAAAAGCTTTCATATTATTAAAAAACCCTTGGGATACCCGAGAAGGTTTCACATTATTGATATTAGAGAAATTTGGGAGCCCCGAGAAGATTTCACATATTAAAAAAAAACCCTTGGGATACCCTAGAAGGGTTCACATTATTAAAATAAGAGAGACTTGGGAGCCCCGAGAACGTTTCACATATTTAAAAAAACCCTTGGGATACCCGAGAAGATTTCACATTATTAAAATAAGAGAGACTTGGGAGCCCCGAGAAGGTTTCACATATTTAAAAAAACCTTGGAGTCCCCGAGAAGGTTTCACATTATTATAATAAGAGAGACTTGGGAGCCCCGAGAAGGTTTCACATTACTAAAAAAAACCCATGGGGTCCCCGAGAAGGTTTCACCTTCTTTAAAAAGACAGTTGGGACGCCCGAGAAGATTTCTAATAATGTGAAACTTTCTCGGACGTCCCAGTTGGTTGCGACAGTTGGGAAGTTGGGACCCTTGAGAAGGTTTCACATCATTAAAAAACCGGTTGGAAACCCCGAGAAGATTTCAACTTCTTTAAAAAAGTCACTTGGGGTCCCCGAGAAGGTTTCACCTACTTTAAAAAGACAGTTGGGGCGCGCGAGGGGGTTTAACTTTCTTAAAAAAGAGAGACTTGAGAACCCCGTTTTAAAAGTACCTAGACAGTTGGAGCACCTGAGAAGGTTTCAGCTTCTTAAAAAAAAACACTTCGAGACCTCCGAGGGGATTTCACCTTCTTTAAAAAGAAACGACACTTGGGACCCCCAAAAAAGTTTTACATTATTAAATAAAGACACTTGGGACCCCCGAGAAGGTTTTACTTTGTTTAAAAAAATTGGTCGAAAGCTGGTTCGACAGAACTTCCCTCGCAGCTAAATTACAGTGAAATATATCCGGCATTTTTGAGTCGAGTTTTTACTTTACAGAATTTTCTAATGACGTCATCAACATTTTTGCAAGGACACGTATATCAACTTGGATTGGTACAGTGTAATACTAAAAATAACAGTATGGTATTCTCAAAATTTTCTAGAAAAATGGAGCGAGCCGTTCCTGATTTAATCAATAAAATAAATTGACACATTCACTATTTTTTTTTGAGCCGCATGTATAAGCAAATCTAAAAAATATGAAAACAATGATAAAACACCTTTAAATTTCACAAGTTTTTACAAGATTAATAGGGGCAAACTCAGTTTTATCTTAACAAATACTAGCCCCGCCCACCCACCCCCTGTTTTCTCAGAGGATATGTGATTTGCCAAAATCAGTCTTATCTTACCAAGTACTAGCCCCGCCCACCCGCCCTTTATTTTCTCACAGGGTAATACTTGCTAGAACTATCATAGAGAGCTGTCCTGTGAGAAAATAGGGGCCGGTGGGCGGGGCTAGCACTTGCTACGATTAGACTGATTTTGTCCCTATTAAACTTGTAAAAACTTTAAAAAGGTGTTAAATTGAATATTTCCATAGTAACGAATTAAATTAAATGAGTAAAATGTGATTGGATATTTATTTTTTAACAACTCAGTAATTAATTTTTCTGAGACATCCTGTATAAGCAAGTTAAAAAAATATTAATTATATACTAAAAATAAATCACAAGTATAAACTCATCATATTTTGCACATTTAAGATAGGATATATTCAGTCATATTTTAAGGTGACGTCATCAATTTTAATAAAAAAATTTACCATGCTTGTGATAAATTTAAAACATCTTCAAGATTTCATAGTCGGTTTTCCTGATTAAATCAAATTGGTAGGGATGATCAGAAAAATTTTGGTTAGTGTTTTACCATCTACATATTTCTAATATAAATACAAAATTTGACAACAATCGGTCCAGTAAACGTCGTGGAAATACAAAAGTGGCCATTTGTCCGAAGTGTAGTATAAAACTAACTACAAGTACTCACACGTGTAATGTCAGTTGCATACTCAGAATTTAAATTAAAACTGGTGTATTGCTGGTTGCCTGCTTCTGAAAAATTTAAGTATTACGTAGTCGAAAACTGTGGGAATCAGAGTTGGCAAAGTTCAACGATGGAAAAACGTAGTTTTGCGTTTGGTGTGTTACGGGTTTGGAATGAAAGGTCGAATAAACGACAAATTGTTTATTAAAATTAATAAGTAAAACAGAACATGAATACATAGTCAATTACTTGCATTTAAATTACTTATATACAATAAGTAGTTGATAATTATACTCCCAATGCAAGGAGTGGGTTCGTGATGGCTGTACACATTACATTACATTGTGTTAAGTTTAACAGTGTGACAATGTAATGTTATCGTCTAGGAACACATAACTGTTGCGTTAGTTATATAGTGAGTGTCACAGCATATAGTACGGGTACTATGAATAATATTCTCCAACAGCATCATTCATCAGAAAAAACGATACACGTGTTTGTACCTACTACATGCAGAGACTAAAGAAATCGCGTCGATTCCCTTAATCTATGACAGTAGCTCTTACCTAGAATGTCTAAATAGGTATATGTATGCAATAACAATCTATTACAACTTTACATAATTATATCTGACGAGATTCGGTGATTCCCTGAATACTATTACATAATTAAAATTTTCATTTCTTGCGTTTTGTACTTTTGTTTAATTCCTGAGTTGTACATAAACACCTAGGTAAGTTCGCATATAAAACAATATAATTACATTGTTTGTACTAACATTTTCAACGAAGGAGTAGTAGTGGAATACATTATTAGTCTGAGGTAGTTTCACTTTTCCATATTATATTTCTCTGCTTTGTACTGTCACGTAACGTGGTGGTTAAGTGTGACCTCTGTACTGAGTTAACAGGCAACAAATATCTGAACGTACTATTAACATTATTCGAGTGCCAATATATACAAATAATGCGGCGACGTTGGAAACAAACGGACAGTAACAAACTAAGTAGAAAAAAAATTCAGCAGCATCGATACCCGTGGTTAGAAGTGGGTTTGTTTCCAACATCCGTAACATCCATGAAATGTGATTTAACATATAACAGTCATACAACGCATGCACACGCCTCATAAATAATAACATGCATGTATGTAGTAAACGAACGAAAAAAACATTAATTAAAAAATCCCTGAACGAATACCTGAGATTATTGCGAAATTATGAAGAAAACGACATTCACATCGATCACGTTAACATTGCATTGCCACTATTAATACAATATGACACAGTAGATGTAAACATGTAAAAAACAGATGCGACCCGCCGCGGGGGCGGCGACATCAGGAACAGCACAAATTTATAAAAGCCGTTACAATACACGAGGACATGTTCATCGGTCGGAAATCAAAACATTCAAACATTGAGTGGGAAAAAAATGGCACGTCCCCAGTGAACAATCGAGAGTTTGATATAAAAGTCGAAAAATCCGTTCACTTAGTTCTATTTTTGTTTGTTCAGTTCCGTCACCAATCACTGTGCCTAAACCATATCAACCGGTTTTTCTTCATAAGATTGATTTTTATAGTTGAGACGATCAACTCTTGACAGTTAACAAATTAATAAAATTCACAAAAAAAACTGAATAAGGATATACATATTAACTTAATTATGCTTAAGACTAAGGTATAACATATACATATATAAAAACACGAAAATGGAACCCTGAATGCCTCAGATTTGGGCGCGGGCTCGGCTCGCAACCGCCACGAAGAACGCCTTCAATAAATATAATTACAACTCTGATTCTTCATGGTGGTTACGCGCACCGGACCCACTCTAAATCGCATGCATATTTACAGCCTTAAACGTAACTGAGTGCATTGGGAATGAAGCTGCTAAATAAAACAGACGAAGCCGAAGAGACAACCGACCCCCACCCCAAAACCGCGCCGACCCGAAAACCTACGACGATCTCGGGCGCCAGCTTTCTGCTACGACGCTTTTTTGCGGTGGACGACCCAATAGCAATTTTGTACTGTGGTAAAAGCTTTCAGTTATAACGTATGAACAACATAACACTGCTACTATCCCTACGAATTAATTAAAAAAAAAAAAAAAAATATACAATAAATTAGCGATGAATTGTCATGTTTCATGAGGTAGTTGATGTAACTGAAAAGCCACTTGTGTATATGTATGTATATAGTACTGTACGAAAATATAGACCCGTAATACAAGAAAAAATACTGTAGTATATATAGACGTTGAGGTAGTGTTATGTAGAAAGAGCTATTGATTTAATGACTAGTAGCTTTAAGAGCACAGCTTATAATTAATATCTATTTGGTTCATTGTATGCAATTATGGCATGTTGTTACCTTCAATAAACCCCTGGCCGACAAAAAACAAAAAGTGCGTGACACAATCAGGGTTCTGTTTTCAAAAAACGACCAACCAATCAAATTGAGCCAACGGATAATAAATAAAAACTGTAACTGGATCACATTATATACAAAATTTTATATCTATTATCCCGATTAACGTGAATTGGATTCACCGAAAAATTAAAAAAAAAAAAAAAAAGAAATGAGCTATTTATTATCTTAAAGCTTAGTTACTGTGATGAAATGAGAGGGGCAAATTAACGCTACCGTACCTGAGCTTTTATTGGAACTAAATTCTAAATTTTAATGTGTTGCACTAAATGACTAGCTGATACTAAAATGGTAAAGAAACTGAGGCAGCCGTTAAAGTTATGAGGTAGTTTCTGGGTTATCGGTTATAACCGCATAGCCAGGACGGTTAATATTCACATACACCCTGGCGTACAAAATTCACTTAATTAATACTTAAAACTATCGCCGTAACGTAAGTATTTTTCTTTAAAAAATATATGATAAGTACAACGAAAAGTAACCCTAACGAATGAAACTTCCAATTTTGAAAATTAAAAACTCTTACTTAGAGACCTAGAGACAAATTTTCGACGCTCTTGGGAATATTGAACTTATCCTTCGGTCTTAAAATTAACAACCTGAGTGAAGAACTTCTGAAGCCTTAAACATTATTTTAAACAATGCACTTGCACGTTTCACTTTTACAAACAAAACAAGACCAGCTCGTATTGTTTCTATCCTTACACTTGGTACTCCTTAACTAAAGTATAAAAAATGACACATACCATATTTAAGATAACAACACAGACAAGAGTCATGAATCCGATAGGCGGTACAGACTATAGAGAATATATTATATTTACATCAGATCTCACGCTTTACCGCCTCTCGGGGTGCACCTTACATTTAAAAATATCAGGTAGTTGTGGTTTGTTTTTTTTTGTAACTTTTTTTTTCTTTTTCAATTAGGGTTCTCTGCTTGCTTACGGGTTATGGTTGTGTACCTGCTGCTGGTTCTGAAACGCTTTCAGACTCAGTTCCGCCTTGTGTTCTCTGGCTATGTGTCGCCTCACTGTGTTATTGCGGGTGAAGGTACGTGAACAGAAGGGGCACGGCACCCGGATCCCCTGGTGCCGCTGTCGTATGTGAGCGCGCAAGTTGGTCTCATACCCGTACAATCGTTCGCAAAAAGGGCACTTCAATTTCTTTCCTGTAACAAACAAACCGGTCCTCAGTCACCAATTCTAACCCAAAAAAATCAAACATAACCTCACTTTCGCACTTACCATCAGGCGTATTCACCGTTCCGCTCTTGTGTGAGAGCTTCCCAGCGACAGAGTTCCACAACGACGCCGGCACCAGATCCGTCTTGTCCCTATCGTGATCATACTTGTTTATCTGACCGAGTGAGCCATTAGCCGAACCGTTATTGCTGAGTCCTGTGATGCTCGTGCTAGTCCCGCTTGTACTGTTGGGGGGCTCGTCCTGCTGGATGGCCGGCTCCATTTTCATCCTCAAATCTAACAATAACGACGAGTGTTAGCCCCAATTAAAACAAATTCAGACAAATCGTGTAGCAACTTTTGAAATTTTACGTAATTATGTTGGCAACAACTTGTCAATACCAACACCACTATTTTAAAAATAAATTTCACGACTTTTTTCGATCCTGTGGTAACTAAAATTGGTATAATGGGAAAATTAATGCATTTTCGATATAGTTAGTTACTGAAGTATCCGCAAATGTGTGAAAAATACTGGCTATAGAATACATTTTGGTATAAATTTTGGTGACAGGTTCAAATTTCGCGCTTCTGTCATGACAGATCACATAACGCCGTACGCTATCTACACAAACGGCACGGCCCATTTATCACTGACACCATGTGAACTAAAATCTGCTGTTCGATTCGCTCACCTCAAAAATTGGTAGGGTAATTAGCGCTATCTACTGGAATTTTCTTTAACGAAACAGTTCATCCTTTGTCAAAATTTACAAAAAATATTGTGAAAAAATGTTTTGTATGTGGAGCAAAGACTGGTTCGTTTTTTGAAATTCCCACAGAAGTAAGTAATTAAGAAAAACCTATTACATTGTATTGTATTATTATTACATTAGAGTAATATATTTTGCCATTTTTTTTATTAATATAATTATGTACTTTTGATTTCATAACAACAAACTTAACGCATGTTCAAAATGGTAAATTTTTGCAGGAAAGCTGGATTTTGCAATTATACTTCGCCTCTTGGTCTGACAACCAATGAAAAGTTCGTCACAATTGAGATCGGGCGGGTGGGCGGGGCTTATATTTTGCCCCCTTTTTTCTTAATATGCGTAGTCTCCTTTTCTTAGCGAGAAACTCAAAATATGTTCAGAATGGTAAGTTTTATAGGAAAATCTGGATTTTGCAATTAGGCTCCGCCCCTTGGTTTGACAACAAATGAAAAATTCATCACAATTGAGATCGGGCGGGCGGGCGGGGCTTATATTTTCCATCCCCTTTTTTTCTTAATATGCGTTGTCATCATTTTATAACAAGAAACTAAGTTAAAACTTACCACCATTTTGAACATGTTTTAAGTTTGTTGTTGTGAAAAGAAGACTATACATGTTCAGAAAAAAAGGGTGGCAAAATATAAGCCCCGCCCACCCACCCGATCTCAATTGTGATGAATTTTTCATTCGTTGTCTTCTTTTCATAACAAGATACCTAAAACATGTTGGAAATTGTAAATTTTTATAGGAAAATCTGAATTTTGCAATTACGCTCCGCCCCTTGGTCTGACAATGAATGAAAAATTCGTCACAACTGAGATCGGGTGGGTGGGCGGGGCTTATATTTTGGCCCTTTTTTAGCATACGCAGTATTTTTTTTCACAACAAGAAACTTAAAACATGTTCAAAATGTCAAATTTTTATAGGATAAACCTGGATTGCAAAATCCAGATTTTCCGATAAAAAGTTGTAGGAAAATGGGGATTTTGCAATTAAGCTCCGCCCTCCGGCTCACGACGAATAAAAAATTATGGCAATTTTAGAATTTTTGTAACTGTGAAGATGAGTCTGGAAACGTGTCTGAAAGTAATTCAGTTTTTTGAATTTTATTCGGTTTTCAAAGTGTGCTGAAATTTTCAAAAATTTTCGGCAGAATTTTAGTTAAAATATATAGAATTTATACTTTGTTCACAAACTGTCAAAATTTAGAAGATTTTGTTATTTTTGGGATTGACAAGAATTTTTGTTTATATTTTAAGACCTGTTCCTTTAAATTTTTCTGATTTAAAATATTTTCAGCTTTTCCAAAATGTGCCGAAATTTTCAAAATTTTTTTAGGTAGTCTTTATCAAAATATTTAGAAATTATATTTTTTCTCAAACTAATAACGCCAACATTTTAAAAGTAGTGAATTAGGTAAAATTAAAAAAAAAATTGAGACATAATTTGTAAGTGATGTCAAAATTTAGCCTTTTTGTGATTTTTGGGATATATTTTGAAGAAATTTTCTTTATATTTTTGGACGTTTGGTTCTCAGGTTTTCGAATTGAAAGCGTTTCGAATTTTAGTTTTTTTTTTTCAAAATGTGCTGAAATTTTCAAAATTTTTGTGGCAGAGCTTCAGCTAAAATATATAAAAGTTATATTTTGTTCACAAAGTGTCAAAATTTAACGGTTTTTGTGATTTTTAGGATGTACAAGAATTTTAGTTTATATTTTCAGACTTGTTCTTTTCAATTTTTCTGATTTAGAATATTTTAAGTTTTTTCCAAAATGTGCCGAAATTTTCAAAATTTTTGTGTATAAAGTTTTCATTAAAATATTTAGAATTCATATTTTTTCTCAAACTAATAATACTAATATTTTAAAAGTAGTGAATTACGTAACATTAAAAAAATTATGAGGCACATAATTTGAAAGTAGTTGTAAAAATTTAGCCTTTTCCTGATTTTGGTACTAAGAAATTGTCTTTATATATTTTGCCCCTTTTTTTTCTTAATATGCGTAGTGTTCTTTTCACAACAAGAAACTTAAAAGATGTTCGAAATGGAAGTTTTAATAGGAAAATCTGGATTTTGCAATTACGCTCCGCCCCTTGGTCTGGCAACGAATAAAAAACTCATCACAATTGAGATCGGGCGGGTGGGCGGAGCTTATATTTTCCAACAAGAACTTAAAACATGTTCAAAATGGCAAGTTTTAACTTAGTTTCTTGTTATGAAAAGAAGACGACGCATATTAAGAAAAAAACGGGGGCAAAATATAAACCCCGCCCACCCGCCCGATCTCAATTGTGACGAATTTTTCATTCGTTGTCACGCCAAGGGGCGGAGTCTAATTGCAAAAATCCATATTTTCCTATAAAAATTGATAAGAAAATAGGGATTTTTCAATGAAGCTCCGCCCCCCCGGCTCACGACAAATAAAAAATCATGGCAACTTTAGAATTTTTGTAACTGTGAAGATGAGTTTGGAGACGTACTTGAAAGTAATTAAGTTTTTTGAATTTAATTTGTTTTTCAAAGTGTGCTGAAATTTTCAAAATTTTTTGGCAGAATTTCCGTTAAATATATAGAATTTATATTTTGTTCACAAGTTGTCAAAATTTAGAAGTTTTTGTTATTTTTGGGTTTAACAAGAATTTTTGTTTATGTTTTTAGACCTGTTCCTTTAAATTTTTCTGATTTAAAATATTTTCTGTTTTTTCCAAAATGTGCCGAAGTTTTCAAAATTTTTGTCGGTAAAGTCTCTATCAAAATATTTAGAATTTATATTTTTTCTCAAACTAATAACGCCAACATCTTAAAAGTAGTGAATTAGGTAAAATTAAAAATATTTTGAGCCACAATATACAAGTGTTTTAGTAATTTTGGGATCTACTTTGAAGAAATTTTCTTTATATTTTTGAATGTTTTGTTCTCAACTTTTCGAATTGAAAACATTTTGAATATTAGTTTTTTTCAAAATGTGTTAAAATTTTCAAAATTTTTGTAACGGAGTTTCAGCTAAAATATATAAAATTTTTATTTTGTTCACAAAGTGTCCAAATTTAAAGATTTTTGTGATTTTTGAGATGTACAAGAATTTTGGTTTATATTTTTTGACTTGTTCTGTTCAATTTTCTGATTTAAAATATTTTCAGTTTTTTCCAAAATGTCCCAGAATTTTCTAAATTTTTCTCGATAAAGTTTTTATTAAAATATTTAAAATTCATATATTTTTTTTCAAACTAATAACACTAATATTTTAAAAGTAGTTGTCAAAATTTACTCTTTTTGTGATTTTGGGATCTACTTCAAAGAAATTTTCTTTATATTTTGCCCCCTTTTTTTTTCTTAATATGCGTAGTCTTCTTTTCACAACAAGAAACTTAAAACATGATCAAAATGGTAAGTTTTTATAGGAAAATCTGGATTTTGCAATTACGCTCCGCCCCTTCGTCTGACAACGAATGAAAAATTCATCACAATTGAGATCGGGCGGGTGGGCGGGGCTTATATTTTCCATCCTTTTTTCTTAATATGTGTCGTCTTCGTTTCATAACTAGAAACTAAGTTAAAACTTACCGTTTTGAACATGTTTTAAGTTTCTTGTTATGAAAAGAAGACTACGCATGTTAAGAAAAAAAGGGTGGCAAAATATAAACCCCGCCCACCCACCCGATCTCAATTGTGACGAATTTCTCATTCGTTGTCACACCAAGGGGCGGAGCTTAAATGCAAAATCCCCATTTTCCTATAAATTTTTATAGGAAAATCTGGACTTTGCAATTACGCTCCGCCACCGGCTCACGACGAATAAAAAATCATGGCAATTTTAGATTTTTTTCAGTTTTTGGAACTAAAAGAATTTTGAATTTTAGTTGTTTTTCAACGTGTGCTGAAATTTTCAAAATTTTTTGGCGGACTTTCAGTTAAAAATATATAAAATTTATATTTTCTTCACAAACTATCAAAATTTAGAAGTTTTTGTTATTTTTGGGATCGCAAGAATTTTTATTTGTATTGTTAAATCTGTTCTTTTCATCTTTTTTGACCCGAAATATTTCCAGTTTTTTCCAAAATGTGCCAAGATTTTCAAAATTTTCGTCGGAAAAGTTTTTGTTAAAACATTTTAAAAATAGTTAAATTAGGTGATCCTTGAGGTCTGCAAGAATTTTTCTTTATATTTTCAAATATTTTGTCGTCAGTTTTCGGATTCAAAGTATTTTGAATTTTTCAAAATGTGGTGAAGTTTCCAAACTTTTGTGGCAAAAGTTTCAGTAAAAGTATTTGTTAAATCTGTTCTTTTCAGCTTTTTTGATCCAAAATATTTCCAGTTTTTTCCAAAATGTGCCAAGATTTTCAAAATTTTCGTCGAAAAAGTTTTTGTTAAAATATTTAAAATTTGTATTTTTCCTCCAACTATAATAAAAACATTTTAAAAATAGTTAAATTAGGTGATCCTTGAGGTCTGCAAGAATTTTTCTTTGTATTTTCAAATATTTTGTCGTCAGTTTTTGGATTCAAAGTATTTTGAATTTTTCAAAATGTGGTGAAATTTCCAAACTTTTGTGACACAAGTTTCAGTAAAAGCATTTGTTAAATTTGTTCTTTTCAGCTTTTTTGATCCAAAATATTTCCAGTTTTTTCCAAAATGTGCCAAGATTTTCAAAATTTTCGTCGGAAAAGTTTTTGTTAAAATATTTAAAATTTGCATTTTTCCTCCAACTATAATAAAAACATTTTAAAAATAGTTAAATTAGGCGATCCTTGAGGTCTGCAAGAATTTTTCTTTGTATTTTCAAATATTTTGTCGTCAGTTTTCGGATTCAAAGTATTTTGAATTTTTCAAAATGTGGTGAAGTTTCCAAACTTTTGTGACACAAGTTTCAGTAAAAGCATTTGTTAAATTTGTTCTTTTCAGCTTTTTTGATCCAAAATATTTCCAGTTTTTTCCAAAATGTGCCAAGATTTTCAAAATTTTCGTCGGAATAGTTTTTGTTAAAATATTTAAAATTTGCATTTTTCCTCCAACTATAATAAAAACATTTTAAAAATAGTTAAATAAGGTGATCCTTGAGGTCTGCAAGAATTTTTCTTTGTATTTTCAAATATTTTGTCGTCAGTTTTCGGATTCAAAGTATTTTGAATTTTTCAAAATGTGGTGAAATTTCCAAACTTTTGTGACACAAGTTTCAGTAAAAGCATTTGTTAAATTTGTTCTTTTCAGCTTTTTTGATCCAAAATATTTCCAGTTTTTTCCAAAATGTGCCAAGATTTTCAAAATTTTCGTCGGAAAAGTTTTTGTTAAAATATTTAAAATTTGCATTTTTCCCCCAACTATAATAAAAACATTTTAAAAATAGTTAAATTAGGCGATCCTTGAGGTCTGCAAGAATTTTTCTTTGTATTTTCAAATATTTTGTCGTCAGTTTTCGGATTCAAAGTATTTTGAATTTTTCAAAATGTGGTGAAGTTTCCAAACTTTTGTGACAAAAGTTTCAGTAAAAGCATTTGTTAAATCTGTTCTTTTCAGCTTTTTTGATCCAAAATATTTCCAGTTTTTTCCAAAATGTGCCAAGATTTTCAAAATTTTCGTCGGAAAAGTTTTTGTTAAAATGTTTAAAATTTGTATTTTTCCTCCAACTATAATAAAAACATTTTAAAAATAGTTAATTTAGTTGATCCTTGAGGTCTGCAAGAATTTTTCTTTATACAGTGGACGCCGCTTAATGTGATCACTTCGGGACTCAGACAAATTGATCACACTAACCGACTGATAATAATAAGCGAAAACCACCATCAGAGACAGTAAAACTTGAAACAAAGCAAAATCATGAACAAGACAGTGTTTATTATGCTGGTAGATGAAGGTACATAAACATTAGAATTTATTTTAAATTTTGGTTATCATTCTGAGAAAGGAACCCTCGATTTCCTTTGGTTGTTTTAGAAATTTGTTAAGAAAGGGCTGAGATTTTTTTTTCCTGATACGCTGAGATCTCGTCGTTTCGAGGTGCTCATTTTTACATGAGTACTACTCAAATTTAAAACAACAAAAATTAGTTCATGCAAAAGACGAAAACGCACTGATTACTAAAGTTTGTCACTGATTGTGGTTGTATAAAGTGGGTAGTATAAGCGACAGTAGCTTTTACAAGCAATGAATGTTCATTAAAACACAATACTAGTTCCAGTCGTCTCGCTTTTCCAAAAAAGCTATTCCCGCTTATATAAAAATTGCGAGATTGATCACAATAAGCGAAATATTGATCACAATAAACGGAAAAACTGTAATGCATTGGTATTGCGTGGGCCCGTTCCAAGACATTTTGATCACACTAAGCGGTTGATAACATTAACCGTGATCATATTAAACGGCGTCTACTGTATTTTCAAATATTTTGTCGTCAGTTTTCGGATTCAAAGTATTTTGAATTTTTCAAAATGTGGTGAAGTTTCCAAACTTTTGTGACAAAAGTTTCAGTAAAAGCATTTGTTAAATTTGTTCTTTTCAGCTTTTTTGATCCAAAATATTTTCAGTTTTTTTCCAAAATGTGCCAAGATTTTCAAGATTTTCGTCGGAAAAGTTTTTGTTAAAATATTTAAAATTTGTATTTTTCCTCCAACTATAATAAAAACATTTTAAAATAGTTAAATTAGCTGATCCTTGAGCTCTGCAAGAATTTTTCTTTGTATTTTCAAATATTTTGTCGTCAGTTTTCGGATTCAAAGTATTTTGAATGTTTCAAAATGTGGTGAAGTTTCCAAACTTTTGTGACAAAAGTTTCAGTAAAAGCATTTGTTAAATTTGTTCTTTTCAGCTTTTTTGATCCAAAATATTTCCAGTTTTCTTCCAAAATGTGCCAAGATTTTCAAAATTTTCGTCGGAAAAGTTTTTGTTAAAATATTTAAAATTTGTATTTTGCCTCCAACTATAATAAAAACATTTTAAAAATAGTTAAATTAGGTGATCCTTGAGGTCTGCAAGAATTTTTCTTTGTATTTTCAAATATTTTGTCGTCAGTTTTCGGATTCAAAGTATTTTGAATTTTTCAAAATGTGGTGAAATTTCCAAACTTTTGTGACAAAAGTTTCAGTAAAAGCATTTGTTAAATTTGTTCTTTTCAGTGTTTTTGATCCAAAATATTTTCAGTTTTTCTCCAAAACGTACTGAAATTTTCAAAATTTTGTAGTGAAATCTTGGTCAAAATATTGTGTCAAAATTTAAACGTTTTTGGAAGTTTTAGGATCTATTTACAAGAATTTTCGTTTATGTTTTTACATCTGTTCCTTTCAGCTTTTTTCTAAAATGTGCCGAAATTTTGGAAAATCTTGCAATCAATTAACAATTTTAGAACAACAGTTAATACAAAATCCAGTTTTTGTCTATAGTAACCAAAGTATTTCTTTTGTTTGTTTATAACTATATATATATAATATATATATCTCTTGGAATTGATACAATTTTCTAGTTTTGACACATCTGAAAACCCAACTTTTTCCTACTGTCAAGTATAATTCTGTTTTCAAAGCAAACGTAGAGATGGCGCAAGTCACCCACGAATTTTTGAGGTTAGGTCAATCAATTCCCGCTTTGCCGCTTACTTTGACTTTGACTCTAACTACCTCTAGGTTAAAATTTTCCCGCCGCCTCACCTTCGGCGCAGCCGGTGTCCTGGCAGCACTCCGACGTGTTGCTCTCCGGGCACACCACCGCCGTGGCGGGGTCCGGGTCGAATCGGTTCTCCGGGGGCGCGTCCGCCTCCGGCTGCAGCGGCAGCGAGCACGACGAGGACGGCCTGAAGGCCAGCGAGAGCGGTCCGTGGCCCGGCGAGCCCGGCCTCCCGGACGTCGTCGTCGTCTTGCTGCCGTCCCTCAGCACCGACGCCCTCACGGACTCGTGGAGCGTCTCGCTGGGGCTGCGCAGCGGTCTCTTCATCGCCGACTCGAAGGCGGCGCCCGTCGCCGGCATGCGCTGCTCGTACTGCCGGTAGTGGTGCGGGTGCATGTAGGGGGACATCGCGGGCGAGTAGCTGGGGGACGGGCTCGACTGGTGGTGGTTGCTGGATGAGGTCTCCATTTCTTCCTTGAGGACCTTGAGGTGCTTGCGGGACGTCGGCGAGTCCAGGGTCGTGTCCATGTTGGAGTGGCTCTGGGCGACGGCGAGCTTCTCGTGCTCGATGCTGAGGCCCTTCACCTAAGGCAAATTTCGTGGTTAAAAAGTGTGATACTTATGCGTGTGCCGTGACGGAAAGGACATGTGTGCGTAACGGAAACGTAGCAATACGCATGTTTTGTTAAGTAATGGTACGCTTACTATGCAGATAGTTACACAAACATTTCTATTATCGTCAAAAACAAGGATAACACGCGGGTTGGTTGGGTCAACAATTACAATCTTGCATAGAAACGAGTTTTTATTTCCTTAGCGTACGCATGTTTTTTCGACGTTACATAACCTTTAAAGTATGAAAAAAGCGGTCCTCCGTTTCCGTCTGTCTGTCTATTGCTTGTATCAATTTTTATATTGTTGCAATTTAACTTCGAAATTAATTAATTAATTAATTATTTAATTAAAATTGATGACGTCATCTCTGAAATATAGAAAATGTTTTAATTTTATACTTGTGGTTTATCAATGCACTCAGTTTTTAGAATTATTTATACAGGGTGATTTAAAAAAAATAATGAAGAGGCAACTTATTTTATTAATTAAATCAAGAACTCAAGCACTCAATTTTTCCGAAAATTTGGAATACAATACTGTTTCGAAAAATCTGGATTTCTTTATTTTTGAAAACTTTTTTGATATCACAATTTTTCGTTTTTCCATTTTCTTTATTTTTGAAATTTTTCCATTTTTCAATGTTTCGGTAATAATTCTTCCTTTTTTTCAACTTTAGTTTCTTAATGTCTCAATTCATTTTTCGTTTCCTCAATTTTTCAAGTTCTTGATTTTTATATTTCATTTTCCCGATTTTGTGATTTTCATTTTCTCGATTTTATATCACAATTTTCCGGTTTTTCTTTCCTTAATTTTTTCAATGTTTCTTCTCTAATTTTCCATTAATTCAATTTTTCAAATTTTTCTATATTTTTGATTTTTCAAGTTTACAATTTTTCCATTTGGTTCGAAAAGTTGAAAAATCGAAAAATAGAAAAAGTACAAAAATGGAAAATTTCTAAATTGAGAAAGTGGAAAATCGAAAAATTGCAAACCGAAGAACTGAAGAAACGAAAAATTGAAACATTGAAAAGAAGAAAAAACGAGTCGAATGGAAAATTTTCAATACCCAAAAATTTTAAAGTCGAAAAATTATCGAATCGTCAAAATTGTAAAGTTGAAAAATTAAAAATAAAAAAAATCGAATAAATGAAAAAGTTTTAAAATCCAACAGTTGACCAATTGAAAAATTTTAATTTTTTAAAGTCGAAAAATCGAAACACCAAAAGATTCCCAAAACTGAAATGTTGAAAAAATTAAAAACCGAAAAATTTTAAAAATCGAAAAATCGGGAAATAGAAAAATTGAAAAATCAAAAAATCAAATAACGAAAAAATGAAAAGTCGAAAAATTTTTAAAATCGAAAAATCCTGAAAATAGAGAAATACCGGAGAACTCAAAAATTGAAAAATCGAGAAATTGAAACATCAAAAAATCGAAAAGCTGAAGTCTAAAAAAAAAGGAAAATTAAAAATTAAATATCGGGAAACTGAAAAATTAAAAATCAAAAAATAAATGAAAAAGTTTTAAAATCCGACAGTCGAACAATGTAAAAATTTTAAAATCGTAGAATTGAAAAATTTTACAAATTGTAATAATTATTATATAAAATGGAAACTAAAAAGATTACAATAGAAAAATCGAGAAACTCAAAATCTAAGATTGAAAAAACGAAAAATTAAAAGCTGAAAACTGAAAAATTGAAAAATCCAAAAATGGAGAAGTTTCACATGGAAAAAGAGGTAAAATTATAAAATCTGAATATTGAAAAGCCGAAAAATCGAAGAAATGAAAAATTGAAAAATCAAAAAATCGAATAAATGAAAATGTTTTAAAATCCAACAGTTGAACAATAGAAACATTTTAATTCTTTTTAAGTCGAAAAATCGAAGGATCGAGCAATCAAAACATCAAAAATTTCCCAAAACTGACATGTTGAAAAAACGAAGTCAAAAAATTTTAAAAATTGAAAAATCCTGAAAATAAAGAAAATCGAAAAATCGGGGAATCGAAAACTTGAAAAATCGACAAATTGTAACATCAAAAGATCGAAAAATGGAAAAGCTGAAAAGTTAAAAAAAGGGAAATTGAAAAATTTGAAAAATAAAACACTTGAGAAATCGGAAAATTATAATTTAAATATCGAGTAAATGAAAAATTAAAATCAAAAAATCAAATAATGAAAAAAATTTAAAATCCAACAGATGAACAATGGAAAATTGTTAATTTTTGTACGTCAAAAATTCGAAGGATCGAGCAAACGAAACAAGAAAAAATTCCCGAAACTGAAATGCTGAAAAAATCAAAAATCGAAAAATCTTAAGATCGAGAATTCGAAACATCAAAAAATCAAAAAATCGAATAAATGAAAAAATGAAAAGTCGAAAAATCCTGAAAATAGAGAAATACCGGAGAACTCAAAAATTGAAAAATCTTAAATAAATTGAAAAATCGAAGGATAGAAAAATTGAAAAATCGAGAAATTGAAACATCAAAAAATCGAAAAGTTGAAGTCTAAAAAAAAAGAAAATTAAAAATTAAATATCGGGAAACTGAAAAATTAGAAATGAAAAAATAAATGAAAAAGTTTTAAAATCCGACAGTCGAACAATGTAAAAATTTTAAAATCGTAGAATTGAAAAATTTTAAAAATTGTAATAATTATTATATAAAATGGAAACTAAAAAGATTACAATAGAAAAATCGAGAATCTAATTCTTTTTAAGTCGAAAAATCGAAGGATTGAGCAATCAAACATCAAAAATTTCCCAAAACTGACATGTTGAAAAAACGAAGTCAAAAAATTTTAAAAATTGAAAAATCCTGAAAATAAAGAAAATCGAAAAATCGGGGAATCGAAAACTTGAAAAATCGACAAATTGTAACATCAAAAGATCGAAAAATGGAAAAGCTGAAAAGTTAAAAAAGGGGAAATTGAAAAATTTGAAAAATAAAACACTTGAGAAATCGGAAAATTATAATTTAAATATCGAATAAATGAAAAATTAAAATCAAAAAATCAAATAATGAAAAAAATTTAAAATCCAACAGATGAACAATGGAAAATTGTTAATTTTTGTACGTCAAAAATTCGAAGGATCGAGCAAACGAAACAAGAAAAAATTCCCAAAACTGAAATGCTGAAAAACTCAAAAATCGAAAAATCTTAAGATCGAGAATTCGATACATCAAAAAATCAAAAAATCGAATAAATGAAAAAATGAAAAGTCGAAAAATCCTGAAAATAGAGAAATACCGGAGAACTCAAAAATTGAAAAATTTTAAAAATATTGAAAAATCAAGAAATTGAAACATCAAAAAAATCGAACAACTGAAGTCTAAAAAAAGGGAAACTGAAAAATTAGAAATCAAAAAATAAATTAAAAAGTTTTAAATTCCGACAGTTGAACAATGTAAAAATTTTAAAATCGTAGAATTGAAAAATTTTAAAAATTGTAATAATTATTACATAAAATGGAAACTAAAAAAAATACAATTCAAAAATTGAAGAGACGAAAAATAGAAAAATCGAGAAACTCAAAATCTAAGATTGAAAAAACGAAAAATTAAAAGCTGAACACCGAAAAATTGAAAAATCCAAAAATTGTGAAGTTTCACAAGGAAAGAGAAAAAATTATAAAATCTGAATATTGAAAGCCGAAAAACAGAAGAAATGAAAAATTGAAAAATCAAAAAATCGAATAAATGAAAATGTTTTAAAATCCAACAGTTGAACAAAAGAAAAATTTTACTTTTTTTAAGTCGAAAAATCGAAGGATCGAGCAATCGAAACCTCAAAACATTTTAAAAATTGAAAAATCCTGAAAATAAAGAAATATCGAAGAACTCAAAAATCGAAAAATCGGGGAATCGAAAACTTGAAAAATCAAAAAAAGGGAAATTGAAAAATTTGAAAAAGTAAAACACTTGAGAAATCTGAAAATTAAAATTTAAATATCGAGTAAATGAAACATTAAAATCAAAAAATCAAATAATGAAAAAGTTTTAAAATCCAACAGATGAACAATGAAAATTTTTTAATTTTTGTACGTTGAAAATTCGAAGGATCGAGCAATCGAAACAAGAAAAAATTCCCAAAACTGAAATGTTGAAAAACTGAAAAGTCGGAAAATTTTGAAAATAGAGAAATATCAAGAAACTCAAAAATCGAAAAATCTTAAAATCAAGAAATCGAAACATCAAAAAATTAAAAATTAAACATCGAGAAATTGAAAAACTAAAAATCAAAAAATTGAATAAATGAAAAAATGAAAAGTCGAAAAATCCTGAAAAGAGAGAAATGCCAGAGAACTCAAAAATTTAAAAATTGAAGGATATAATGAAAAATCGAAAAATCAAAAAATTTTTAAAAATGAAAAATCCTGAAAATAAAGAAATATCGAAGAACTCAAAAATCGAAAAATCGGGGAATCGAAAACTTGAGAAATCGAGAAATTGTAACATCAAAAGATCGAAAAATGGAAAAGCTGAAAAGTCAAAAAAAGGGAAATTGAAAAACTTGAAAAAATAAAACACTTGAGAAGTCGGAAAATTCAAATTTAAGCATCGAGTAAATGAAAAATTAGAATCAAAAAATCAAATAATGAAAAAGTTTGAAAATCCAACAATGGAAAATTTTTAATTTTTGTACGTCGAAAATTCAAAGGAGCAATCGAAACAAAAAAAAATTCTCAAAACTGAAATGTTGGAAAAATGAAAAGTCGAGAAAACTTTCAAAAATCGGAAAATCCTAAAAACAGAAAAATATCAAAGAACTCAGAAATCGAAAAATCGGGAAATGCAAAAATCTTAAAAAAGTTGAAAAATTAAAATACTGAAAAATCAAAGAACCGAAAAATTGAAAAGCTGAATAGTCGAAACAAAAAGGGAAATTGAAAATTTTGAAAACGTGGAACACTGAGAAATCGAAAAATTAAAAATTAAATATCGAGAAATTGAAAAACCAAAAATCG